CTGCACAATATTAAGTGGAGGAATTCTGGTTGTCATGGTCAGTCTATTTACATGGTTCCACAATTCCTCAATTGTGATGAGGAACTTTAAATTGTTTCATATTTGTAAATAATTGCATGTGACTCAGTAGTGCAGAGATTTTATAAATAGCCTACATTGCAAGCTTTTCCAGGTAGGGACCATCTTTCTTTTATTGATTCTTTAAAATGTCTATCAGCCATTGAAAACTGTAGAATAATAAACAACAATGCCTTCTGTTAAACTGTAGTAGTAATAGTGATATCTCTGCTTAAACGTAGGCTTGCTACTGTCTCTGACTATATAAATGAGAAAATAAAACCCATGCTCATGCCACAGAAAGGAAACAAATCTGTACAACCTTGTTACTTGCAAATAACTTCCAGCACTGCCATTTTCTGGGGGGAAAAACAATGTGTGGGCTACAGTTCTTAAAAGAAGCAAACAGAATTATTTTATACATACATCTGTCTTCAAGTGTGTCTTTGTATAGGAGTTGCAGTGATTTGTTTTTTCCTCTTCATCCAGCCTTCTTCACCAAATTCTGGAGTTTCAACTCAGTCACTTGGGAAAACCCCCACAAAGCCAGATCCCCACTGGGAAGCTGCTGCTAATGCACCCGAGGCTGAGAACCTGAATCATCCAAAACCTGAGCTGCAACAGAAACAGCTGACAAATAACGTCCAAGCACTTTCAAAAAATCACCCGTCGCAGTCACATTTGCGCAGTTCGAGTGAGCAACTTTCACATTCACAAAAGCTGCCTTCTGCACCTTTAAAGCTGCATTGTCCCCCTTCACCTCATGTAGAAAATCCTCCCAAGTCATCTACTCCCCACACACCTGTACAGCATGGGTATCTGTCACCAAAGCCTCATTCTCAGCAGTTGGGATCTCCATACAGACCTCATCATCCCCAGTCACCTCAAGTTGGAGCACCTCAGAGAGAGACCCACAGAAGTTTTTATCCAGCCACACAGAACCTGCAGCCTAGTAATCAGCAGCAGGCTAGTGGAACGATATTTACTCAGACATCTTCAGGACAATCTTCAGCTTCTTATAGCCAGTTTAATCAACAAAATCTGAACAGCAGTGCACCACCTCCACCCCCACCTCCACCTCCTTCTACTTATTATCAAAACCAGCAGCCCTCTGGAAACTTTCAGAATTATAGTCAGCTAAAGGGTAACATGCCCCAACAAACTGTGTTTTCATCTGGGCCAAATCAAGCACTTCCTGGTGCTGCAGGCCAGCAAGCAGTTCCAGGACACCATGTAACTGCAGGGCACTTTTTGCCATCTCAGAACCCCAGTATTCATCATCAGGCTTCAGCATCTGCTGCTCCTCCACCACCGCCACCACCACCTGCACCTGGACCTCATCTTGTACAGCAGCAAAGTTCCCATCAGCAGCATTCTGTAGCACATGTTGTAGGGCCAGTTCATGCAGTGGCGGTGGCTCCTGGATCGCACATTCATTCTCAAGCTGCTGGTCACCATTTGCCACCTCCACCTCCACCACCAGGTCCGCTACCCCACCATCAGCCTCCTCATCCCACAACAGGACACCAAGGGTTGCAAGCACAACACCAGCATGTAGTGAATTCAGCTCCTCCTCCACCCCCACCCCCACCCTCCAACGTTTTAGGCTCTGGGCACCACCCAGCATCAGCACAAGGGTTACATCACACCTCTCATCAAGGACCCCCCCATTTTCCTTCAAATGCTCATTCAAGTGTATCTTCCTATTCATCACAAGCCCCACATCATACAACCCTGGGCCCTGGACCTCAACATCAGCCTGCTGGAACAGGACCCCACTGTCCACTACCAGGTCAAGGTCCTCATATCCAGCCTCAAGGACCAAACAGTATTCCAACACCTACTGCTTCAGGGTTCTGTCCTCATCCTGGCTCTGTTACCCTGCCCCACGGAGTGCAAGGACCTCAGCAGGCATCGCCAGTGCCTGGACAAATTCCAATTCACAGAGCACAGGTGCCACCAACTTTTCAGAACAATTACCATGGTTCAGGATGGCATTAAAACAAACCCCTTCATTCTAAACATTTTTAAAATGTTCTGTAAGATAAACTGTGTATATTTCATATGTACCTGTTCAAGGTACTTTTTAAAGCTTGTACATGATACTTTGTATAAAAGCAAACACCAGTGCTCTTTCATTGTATTCTTTCCATTTTTTGCTTTTTAAAATTCCTGAAAATGTGCTGTTAAGCCAGTATTAGGTATTTCTTTTTATTTTGTAAGTGAACATTCCAGCTGTTTTTTCTGGCAGTAGATTTGATGCTGCATAATCTTTAAATTTTATTGTTGCAGTTAAATTCATTTAGTGAATGTTTTCTATATTACTTTTTATACATATGTAATTAAATAAGTACACAGCTAAGTGATGGCACTAACAGGTTTTTCATTTTCTTCTGTCAACAGTTTTGTGTGCAAATAGATAGAAACCAATGCAATACAGACTTTTATAGTTTGGTGTGGCCATGGCTTTTTGTTTCATCAGTTATTTGCAGACAATGTAATTTAATGTATAGACTGTTTCTAATGTCTGACGAGTGCTGTAAATACTGTATTTCTTTTGCGTGTAAAATTGCTTAAGGCTTCTTTCATTTGATATAGTATTGTACATAATGACAGGTCTCTTTTGCAAAAAATGTGTGATCTTTGTGGAAGTAGTACAGTATATGATCTTTAATTTTTTTAATATACTGTCACATTGCAGCACTGGTTGGGCATTTTAATTCATGTTAATAAATCACAACTATGTCAGTTTTAATACAGTTGTCCTGAGATGGTGGTATATTTAAGGGTAAACAATTTGCAGCAAATGTGTGTGCAAATATTTAATAACTGCCGTAACTGTTACAGCTGCAAGTTGTGGCACTAGTTTTGGGCCTTTAAAAATGTTGCCATTTTGCAAATATTTCACTCTCCCTGCATGAAGAAACTGACCAGTTGCAATTTTTTTTGCATCTTCCTGCACTATACTTGAAGGTGTCCATGAGGGGTATTATCTTGTCTTTTTCCTTCTAATCTTAAGGGATACACTGCAGTGATGAGAGAAACTACTAGAAATACTGCAATGTAGTGTCTGTCTACTGAAACGTCACTTTATACAAAGCTAAATCCATCCAGTTTGTATTGTATATGAATATTCATACACTGGTACAGTTATCAACTAAATCTATACCAAACATTTTTCTAATATTTGTTACTTCTGCTTTTGATGACTGACCACTGTAATATCCACACACACACTAGTACATTTGATCTAAGCCTACAAGAGGCTGAGAAGGGATAAAGGTTAAAAAAAAAAAAAAAAAAAATCCTCTTCCTGCAATATGCATTACTTAAGTGGGGTTTTGTTAAATTTGTTTTAAGAAATGTTAAAATGAGCTCAGATGTGTAGAACACCGTACTTTAAAATCCATGTCCACTTGTTTATGAGGGTTACATATTGTTATTACGAGAGAAAGATGGGTATGTTTTTGTAACTAAAATAGAATATGACATGTGGAATGAACCATACAGCTAGACAGTTTAGATTATTTTTATACAGTAAGTTCAGTGTTTTGTTTTTATTGTATAAGCAGCATAATATCACTCAGTGGCAATAAAGATATTATTGCCATGTGTGCCAATGTTTTATGCTGTAGGACCCAAAGGCAGGATTCTTACTTCGTTTTTTAAACGGAAGCCTAGTGGGAGGACAAGGTGTTTCATGTCACTGTTTTTAACTTGGGGCTGTGACAGTTTCTCCCTCTCCCCCATGTTGTTTAACTCTATTTCCAAGGAATCGAAGACTTCTTACTGATAAAAAAAAAAAACCTGGTTTATCCAACTGAAATAGTTTAGCAGGTGATATTTTGTCATAAAATAACTACCAATCCAAGGTGCTGGATTGACGAGATCAATTCCTAATGCTCTCCCTACTCATCTGGGAACATTCTCATTCATGCGTTTCCCTGTGGCTAGAAGTTAAACTGATGTTTTAGTCACAAAAATATCAGCATTTAGGTGAGCTCTGACCAAACCTGAATAAGTAACAGTTTTCAGTCAAGACCACTAACCAGGGCCTAGCGTTGAAAAAGTGACTGACATATCCCAAGACATGCATCATAATATTCACAGTACACTACACCTTTTAGTATGATGTTTAGAGACGGATGCAAAACTCTTCCCACCCCCCCATGTGAGGTGTCCATCACCTAGCTTCAGAGCAAACATCTTCATTGTGCAAGCAGCAGTCTTTGTCATTTTAACGTGAACAGCTAGAGCTTTTGAAAAATGGAAGAGTAGGAGCTTAACTAAGTCAGAGATAGCACTAAGTCACCTTCATTGACTGAATGTAGTACCACAGGATTTTTTTGAGAAGTATAATATTACAAAGAGTTGCAATGTATTAATACTTGATTTGGTGCATTTTAAATGGTGGGCTTTGTTGATTCTTATGTTTTTCTTTCCCTCCTGTACTCAAAGAATACGTGTTCACTTGAGCAGCAGCTACAAATCAATAGGTAACTCCACTTGCGAAGCTGAAAATGATTTTACCTCCGTCTTCTCTGGCTTCTAGTGCAGCATTTGTCCTCATCATCATCCTTGCTGTTCTAAAAAGATGTTCCAGCATGAAGTGGCTGAAGAGCGGATAAACACAGGCTATCTGATCTGAAACCCAACTGTTGACATTGCTGTGGCTGAGTTCCTTCTAAATAGTAGCATTTAGTATTTCACTCTAAGAGGTTTTTAACAGTTTTCATTTTAAATATACTGGAGGGAGATACATAAGGAAATGGGAAAGGAATGTTTGTTTAATTGGAGCAAGCCCTGGGGAATGCCATTTCTCAAGTCTGACATGTCTGAACAAGCGGTGAGCTAAGTGTGAGACATACTGTTTCCACTGCTGTACAGTCTGCTGTCACTGAGTAGGTAAAATGTTAACAAAATACTATAAGTTTACAAAAGAATTGTCAACTGCCATTTTAGCATGTTTCTTTTAATTTGTGCTAGCTATAATGGGAAATGGGACTGCAGCGCAGCTGGATTTATCTCTACCAAACATTCCAATGACTAGCACAATGTCTGAAAAAACAAAACACTTTAATTAGACAACTGCAAGCACCTCAAACAATTTGTTATTGTTACAACACAGGGCTACCTTCTCACAATCTAGTTATTGCAAAGGCATGTGAATAAATTTCAAATGGACAGAGTCAAGAAAAAGTGGCACCATAATTAACATGTAAAACCAGAAATAAACTTACATTCATCCCACTGACTTCTAAAAGAGGCCAAAATACATCTCCATATTTTTACATTCTAAAATCTGTATTGCCTATGAGTGAGTCTAGTTAGCCTTTTTCTAGGAAACATTTAAAAGTTTTGCGTGCAATTTACAAAGGGAAATCTTATTTCTATATATGTTAATTCATGGGAAAAAGTTAAGCTAGTGCAATTTGTTTTAGAAAACATGTAAAGCTATGAATGGAATGAGCGTGATCTCTCCGTACCGTCAGATAATTGTGCTGACTGCACTGTACCAAAACTGCTTTTGTATCTACTCTGACTCCAAGCACACATTTTTGTAAAAGAGCAGTAACTCTACACAGAATGTTTCCCATGCTCACTTTTAATCTCTTAGTATAGTACAACTTACAGTGCTTAAAAAAAGGCAACACCATCTGGTACCATATCTTCACTATCACATTAAAAGGGAAATTGCTATTTTCTCTTTTAAAAGCACTTAAAATAGGCAAAAGTTCTAAAAGGGAGTGCTAAATGATAATGCATACTTTAGTAGAAAGAAGTCTAGCCTTCCTTTAAAGTGCCATTTGGGGAATGAAATCTTGTAAACCAGAGCCACTTTGTGTAAAATCCAATGAATGGGAACTGCTGCAGATGGAAAGTTTACACAACTCTTTAAAGCAGTTGAAGTTCACTACATGCAATTTGTATGCTACAATGCTCTCTAAAACTTAGTAGCTTTACTCTGAAATTGAATCCCCATCCCATATTTAAATGGAAATAAACATTTACAGGGTGCATTTACATATACTATAATACAAGAATGATGTCCCTTTGCCAGAAGATAAAATTGTACAATTCCTTGCCATTTCTCAGTACTGATTTGATAATTTCTTAAGCTTGTAAATTATATAATACTCAGCTAAAATATTATTCATAAATAGTTACAAAACCTGGCAAAACACATTGGGGGGAAAAAGTACTTTTTGTTCAAAAAATTGACATTTGAATGCCACACAACACAAGAAACAATGCTTAAAGACACGGTAAGTGTTTTCTGAAGAAAGTGGGTCAGTAAACTACTAGCTGGAGACAAAAAGACTACCCTTCCCCAAGAACACAGTGCACAAAAAGCAAAATGTCAAACAGTACCTCAAAGCAAAATAAAGGTCTGAGGATGAAGCCAGCTCATTTGTGATCCTGTTTTGTGATAGTCCCCATTTAGGTTTGATGCAATGGAAAGTGGTTGCTGGCTTAGCACTGTATTTTGAGGCTGCTAAGAATTCAACCATGGATGCCTAAGGCATTCTCCAGCTGAAGCTCGTTTTTCTGGGACCATTTCTAACATGGGGATCAAGAAATCTGTAAATTGTGCAGCATCTTCATGAGGCCACCCATACTTCTCCACAAGTACATCAAACAGGCTCCAGGGTTTCAGCTTGGTAATGTGCCGGAGTTCTCCTGCATGGAAAAATGAATTATGTTAGAAAAAGCCAATTATCAATTTTCTTTCTGCTTACGTTATTTAGTCACTTCCATTCATCATATCCAGAACACCGTTGCACAGAATATCTACTAAAGCAGGTTTGTGTAACTTACTGCAGTCCTTAGAAATAAACACAGCAAATGTTTTAGGTCATTATCAAAAATGAAAAATTATTCTTAAAGCACATACTCTGAAGGCATGGTTCCTTCTTGAATTAGCTGCACTATCTATACTGGCAATCCACATACATGTGTGTCCTTCGTACAATTATTTTCAGATCTCAACCCTAACCAATCTACATAATAGATTAATTTTGAAAAGATCTAGCCTCTGAAAGATAGATGAATAAAATGTGAACGCTAGCGGGATCTACTCAGGGCAAAGAAATGCAAACTGCAATGATAAGTCTTCGTATCAAATACTACTTTAGCCTTGATTGTGGCACAACCTATTGTTAGCTGACCATATGCAAAGAAAACCTGAGTCATGAGATTAAAGATAACCCAGGGGATGTTTCCCAGTGAGAAATGCTGCCATCACCACCCTGACACACGAGAGTTTTCACCGTAGTGCTGAAAAAAAACTGCAGAATCCCTAGGAAGAAACAAGTAACGTGTTCCCAGTGTTGTCATTTTCCCCACAGGGACCATGAATGCCCAGCCCCACTACCTGCCAAAGCCTAGAGATTCCAGACTTGGGATCCACCAGACTTTTTTGGCACGTATTTGATTATAAATGTGGCCCTCCAAACAACATACCTCTGCCCTTCTGCCTTCCTGAGATGCCATGTCCATCTCTTACACAGATGCATCACATCAGTGTCTAAAAAGTGTGACGTCTCTGGGTAAGGTCCTGGCTTTTCCCAACATCTCACCACAGAGGCTAAATTAATATTGTTGGTATATTCTGAATGTTTTATTTGTTGCAAAGTAGAGCCCGAACTTGAATTTCCAAATAAGGTTAGCATGTTCTGAGGAAAATATAATAGCCCCTCGGGGAGGGCTGGCTACACAGCTCCTTACAACATTTAGGGGGAAGCTCGGAGGGGGGCGTTACAGAAATTCTTCTGGGATTCTTAAAATATTTAACAGATGATGATAAAAGCAAAGGTAGTGTAGGCCCCAAAACTAAATGAATACTTTGTCTCAGTTTTTGAAGTAAACTGTGGGGGCAAGTGCAGGATGGACAAGGGGAATGGGGGTATAACGGTGTAAATTGCCACAGCTGAGGTGGCAACAAAACTCCGACTCAGTTCACTCAAACAAAGCCACAAGTCCAGTGCAAGTCTTCTTAACAAATTTACCAAGTTGCAGATGTACCCTAAGATGGGAAATAGCAAACACACAGCTATATTTAAGAAAGGGGGGTGGGCACCTACAGGCCCCTCAGTCTGCCCTCAATAATACAAATTTTGAAGGTAAGACTAATTAAATGCGTGTCACTAAATAGAAAATGAGATGAACTGCAATTCGAGTTTTACCAAAGACAGAACATGCCAGGGTAACCTGATCTCTCATTCTGTATACAGGAAATGAGGTAGACATCATCTGTCAGGCCTTCAGTAAAGCAACTAGCACAAAGTGACTAGCAAATATAGGCTAATACCCAAGTTAATTCAGGTATTGTACACAAAACTGGATGTCCTTGAGGACCAGAGTAAAAGAAATGGGATGCAATTCAATACTACAAAGTCTAATAAGGTCATGCATGTCGGGATTATTAACTTCTACAAACTGGGAGCTCATCGCACGGAAACAGCTGAGAAGAAGCTACCATTGTAAGCTATCAATGTGATGCATTCGAGTTAATGCTGCAGTGAGGAGAACCATTTATGTCAGGAAAATGTTGGCACAAGAAAAAAATGGTATAAATGGGCCATGAATAAACTTAGGCTGGAACTCAGAAGGGGTTTCTAAATATCAAAGCAATGAGGGTCTGGATAGTCAGAGCAGAGGAGCAGAAATCTCTCCTGCTTTTAAGATGGAGCGGAGTAGTTTATGAAAGGAATGATAGGACGTGGTGCCTGTATTGGTGGAAACAACTTGATGACTGAGGAGGCTTCTTCCAGGCCCACATGCTTGCAACTTGCTCAGTGACAGCCAGCAACCCGCAAAGTGACTGGTGCAGTGTACAACCTGCAGGGAAACGGACCCCATCACACCCATTTCTCATCTCCGTGTGGCTTCCTCACTTTCATTTGCCAGAGCAGTCCCTTTTCCGTTACGTGCTTTCATCTTTTCTGCTCCTTTGAGGGCAGAGTACGCACACCCACTCTGTTTGTTGGTCAGTCCTAGCTATCAAGCCCTTTGGCCAGTTGGCATTAACTGCAACAGCTGAAGTGCGTATCACCAGATGTGGTGCACGTGAAACCGGAAGTCTGGCGCAGTACCCCTGTGGGTTTGATGAACTTCCAAACACACACAGCTATCTATAGATATGCTTTTGTAGTCCCATTATAATACCTTTAAATATCTATATATTCCCCCAAATCTAGAAACGCCCTGAATTGATGAACTTTGAAGTTCATTTGTAAACGTCTCAGGGATATAAGCCAAAAAAAATTAGAAAAAACCTTGAAAAAAAGTGAATTATGGGAGAAGTGAAATCCTCACATTTCTGACATAATTTACAGGATAGTCACTAAACTTTCCCCTTTTTACCTTAGGAAGAGCTGTGGTCCATAAGTATTTTGGTTTTCGTAAGAAAAAGGTGGTGTTGAAAAATGATATATTGTACCAGGAATTCAGCCTCGACTCCAAAGGAGTTAGTAACTCTTCCTTATTTAACGGAACCCTCGCCCATCTCTAAGTAACACCAAATGCGCAATTTAAGCATACAAAAGGAAATATATTCATAGTTACATCTGAAAAATTAAGATGACCCCTCAGCAGTCATACAAAACAGTGCAGCCACTTCACAACACAGAGCAACATGAAATAATGTGTTTAAACTACAGCAAAGCAGGTTCAATTTACTCTCAGCAAAAAAGTCCTTATTGTCAGAAGCAAGGATTTTTTTGGTAATATCTTTTATTGGACCACCTATGTAGTTGAGAGAGAGGCTAGGCAAGCTTTTGGGTATAAAGTGCCTTTCTTTAGGTCTGGGCAACTAAATCATACGTATTTCTATTCCAAGTGGACTCTGATTTACAGACCCTACTTTTCCACACCCAGCAACTTGGCACTGAACCAGCATAAGACCCGTGGTTCTTCTGACGCTGCTGGCCACTGGTAGCAAACTCCCTTTTTATAAAACTGAATCCTCAACTACAATTCTGCCTCCCCAGCTTTCTCCATGCCCTTTTGTTCATCAAAAGAGCTTCAGAGACTGCTTTAACAGTGCCCTCCAATGGCTTGTCTAGATGTAGTCAAATCCCTTAAATGTGAGGCAGCCTAATGTCTGAAGGAAGGGCTCCTGGGGGCATCTTTGAGCTGTCTTTTCATTGTCTCTTCCACAAGTAGCAACTTAGGGACCAGCTTAAGCAGCAATGATAATGTGATAAAGCCCACAGTAGGAAGCACTTCATTGGAGAGCACAGACCTGTTGCAAATCCCTTGTATCACAGCTTCAGGGACGAGAGATTTTGTTTGTTTAAATCCTTGCTATCACTCAGGCTAGGGCTTTGTGACACTGATTTGAATATTTGTGCTACTGTGCCTTTAGTTTTAAATTGATAATGACCTGAATTATAAATGCTTATAAAAATGTCATTACTGGGACTATCTTTTAATTCAATTTCACCCAAAATACTGAAAACTAGGAGCCTGCAATTTTGCTCACATGAATGATCGACAAGTAGTTCACTGAACACTTCCCTGAAACTATTTGCTGCTTAAAGTTCTGTTTGCTCCATCACCAGCCACCATATTTTTATTACTTTTTAAATCATTTTTTTTGGCACAATACTTGGTATTTCAAAACAAGATGAACAGAATTGCTCCCCCATTAGTGATGAGAAATTATGTATACCTTCAATACATTTATCAATTGGACTGTAATTTTTTTTTTATACAGAGGGCAATGTTTTCTAAAATGTCTAAATGTATAGTCCTAAACCCTTATTTCAGCACCTAATGATGAGATATTCCAAAAGCACCTAATTAACATAGGCCCCAAAGCCTCTTCCAGCAGAGTTTGCAATTTGTGTGCATCCTCACCAACACATTTCAGCTTTCTTAACTTGGAGAAGGTTTGACATATCAGCAGGGGGTGCTAGGCACAACAGCAGCATGTCTATTTGCTTATCAGTCTTCTGTTGAATTCATGCTTTTCTCACAATACAGCTGTTCATCAGCTTTGAATTTGGATGTTTTATCCTGAGCATTTTAAGTGTAAACTTTATAAAAAAACAAAACAATTGTGTGTCCAATCTGGGACGAAGGATCTCTTGCATTCAAAAGTTTGTCTAAGTCTATCCCAGCTGTGCAGTTGGTCCAATAACAGATACCACCCAACGAAATCCTTGCCTCCAATCTATAAGAAACTAAAACTAGTGGGTAAACCCAAGTTTAGCAATTTACAGCTATACATTAAAAAGAATGTAACTAATCTGGGATGAAAATAAAATTTCTGATTTGAAATAAAAAAATTAAACAATGTTTAAATTAAAAATGGCTTCTGATTTTTTAATAAACATTATTCTCCAACTGGCATTTCCAAAGCCTAATTTCCTGGCAGAATCAGATTTAACAAAAGTAACTGATATAAACAGAATGACCAGTTGGTAATGAACAGCTTAATAAAGATGCAATATCAGATCCATTGCTCCTAGAAAAACCGCCACCAGAATACCCCGAATCACAGAAAAGCAGAGTAGGAAGGGACCTCAGGAAGTCATCTAGTCCAGTCCTCTGTTCACGGCAGGATTATCCCTATGCAAACCATCCCATTCAAGTCCTCGCCCACAATCAACCCTGCTGTACAAGAATAGTGTGGAAAGATGCCAAAAGCACCCTAACCTGCCACAGGTAGAGCAGGGGATGAGGACTGTCAGTGCCCCACAGCTGCAGTGGTTGTTAAAATGCACTTGAGAGATCCAAGGAAGAGGCCCATGTCCCCTCCCTCCCTGCAAAGGAAAATAAACAGCTCCTCTCCCCCAAGCTCTAACAACTACGGGGTTTTTTTAGTATTAATGTGAACTCCAACAGACCAACCTTATTAGCTAGACAGAAGAGCAATAAAGGATTCTACCATAAATGACAATGAGGCAAGAGAGGTAAGGATTTCTTAAGGTGCCTGGTTTTTTGTGCCTTAGCTCCTTATGATCAGACCTGAGGAAAAATGTTTTGCGTTAAAAGGTTTGTCTAACTCTGCACCAGCTACATAGTAGATCCAATAAAAGATACAACCTAAAAAATCCTTGCCTCTTGCATTATTTCTGGCCCACCACAGCTACAACGTCACTCTTCCACTACCACGAGATGAAGGAAGTCACGGCTGGTTCTTGATCTACGCCTGCTCTAAGACTCCAGAGCCAAAGAGGGGCATGCAGAGAGGCCAGGGGTATAAATCTGCAGCAGGAATTCCCAGAAGGGAATGAGACACGCACTGGAAACAAACAAATCTTTACTACCATTTTATTTTAATCTTACCAACTGCCCAAGGATCAAAAATAGTTGGATGTCCTCAATGATAAAATCCTCTTGTCTGTGCACCAGAAGCACTGCAACACGTTTTTAATTTTGATATCATGTCAAAGTTTTTACTATGTTTTTACAAAATGCTGGTCAGACTGTGCTAAGCTAGTATTTAAGCCCAAACAGCCATTCTGAAGACACAAAAAAGGACCTTGTGTGTGCACTAAATTGACTATCACAGTGAGCTAGTGTTGAAGTTAGGAACATCACCCAGGAATCCCTATCCCTGCTTAACCACCAGACGTCACCACTTTCCACAATGAGTTCACTTATGAGATCTGAAGTAATGCTGAGTTGTTATTGGTGCTAGCCTGATTTCTGCATCTACTGAAGAGAGAAATTCTCAAGACATTAACCTTTATTGTCAGAGTGTAAGAGATTACAATCAGAAGAATTTAATCAACAAAATACGAGCAAGTAACAGAGACAAGGTACTACAGCCTGACAGTAGAACAATTCACCATGTTATAAAGCGAGGCATATACTAGTTTAATTCTGCTAACCTAACTGAAGGCAAAATGAAAGAAACTTAACCAAAACCAGTTCTTGTACTACATCACATACTGGTTTAGTATTAAATTTATTTCATATTTGTACAGCACTTAACATGATGGAGACCCAGGCTATGAACAGGACTCCCAGATACTACCACAACACAAATAATACTGATACTGTTAAAAGTGAAATAATGCTATTGAGACAGAAGACACGAGCTGTCCATATCTGTGTCACACAACTACTATTTCTGTATTTGTTTTCCCCTTATTAGAATGGAAAGGTAATGGCAGGAAATACATAAAACCTTTGTGTTTCTCTTTATTATTTGTTTTACCCCTTAGAAAGAGAGTCTGTTTGAACAGCATAAGGTAAAAAGTGAACAACAGTTATTTTCCCCAAGAGTATTTTAAATCCTTTCAATGTTTGTCAGACTGCATTATCCGATGATAAATTTCAGAGAATATAAATTTAAATTAATTTTACATTAGGATGCATTTGGTGCTATCTATACATTTAAATAATGCTTTATGAAAATGTTGCTTAATATCCACTGTTTCACAATATAAATGGTAAGTGAAATCATTTTTACTCTGCAACTTTTTGCTCTTCATGGAAAGGTGAGTTCACACTTATAAAGCTCTTCTTTAACACGATCTTCTCATTTAAATGGATATATTTCTTCGTTACCCACACATGAATGTATAATTTATCCTTTTGGCTAGCGTTATGCTTTAAATTAGTGTTGCATAAATACCATTACCTTTTTTGGTGAAAAACTCCTTGGAATATTTCCCCAACATAGCGTATTTTCGAGGGATTTTTCCCAGCAGTTCAATGATCAATGCTATGTGGTCTGCATTGGAGAATATTGCCAGCAAAACAGAAACATACAACAGTTTAATCAGTACATTGCATGCACACACTAATACTGGCCCGGTACAGACAGAAATAGATTTGTCCTCCTCAAAAAAAGCCATAAACACCACTGAGTGTACAGACAAGGCTTTCCACTTGGGATGGTTAATTTGGAAATTTGGGAATTTGGAAATGTGCTTTCACGGAAATTTCTCCAACAAAAAGACAGTGAAAAGATAAGATTTTGCCAATTAACCGATTTAAAATACATACGCAATGGGTTTTTTTTTTTCAATAAGTTTGGCAAAACAAAGGCAATGGAATGCTCTATGGGTTTTTGTTTTTTCATTTGTAAATTTTTGTTCTTCAAGGATAATTTTGCATGTATGATTTGAGAAAATGCTTCTTAGTGGTATGTGTTATAACCACCAGCTGCCATTCCACTTCTGTCTGCATCACGGCGCCTTTCAAAAAGAAGAGGTACTACCTCTGCGATTGAAGAATTCCCGAGAATATTTTCCAGATAGAGCAAAGTGCCTTGGGATATTGCCTAGCAGCTCTATGATGTGTGCTATGTGGTCTATGAAGGAGAGAAAAAAAGGACACGGGAGTGGGAAGGGCAGGGAAAGGATGGGATAAAAAGAAGAGGAAAGAAACTGGAATTAGTAAAAAATCAGAAATAGTTTTTAAATCAACAATGTTTGCAGCAAACCCATGCAGAGGTTTCCAGGATCAGCAGAGCTCTGGCATCATTAGTAGCACTTAGGAACAATGAATGATGCTCACGTTACCACTGCAAAGGGCATTACAAGCAAACAAGCATGGAAATGGACAGGTACACAGATGGAAGCAGGAGTTAATTTTGGTTTTAAAAAAATTAGTAATTCACTACTTAAAATCAAATATACACAATTGTGAAAAATTATTCCAGTGTCAATCTTAAAACAGAGAAAACTATAGAGCTCGATTGTGTTGCTTTTGTAACTGAAACATTCTCAGTCAGCTTTTCACACATATGCAGATCTTACAAGGAGGTAGTTTACTTCCTTCAGGATGCTGTTAAGCAAGAGTAGTGTATCTGCTGAAGGAGGTTTGCCCACCTATTGCTATTCATGGGACTTAAAACTAAAAAGAAAAACATGTGAATTTATATTCTGGAACCAGAACACAGTGTTAATGAACAGTTCAGTCAAATCCAAAAATTAACCCCACTAGTAAAAACTTTACAAAGTTGTGATTATCTCTGGGAAACTGTGTAACATCTCAAAAGATACATACCCTCATCTCTGGAATAGTCTTCACCAGAATGTGGTTCGAACAAATAATCTCCAGTTGCAAGCTCAAATGCCTGCAACACAACAGACACACTTATGGGTACTTCAGAAATAAATATATTAAACTTACATTTTTGACGAATGCCAAAGCAATCTTTTATAAATGAGAGAATTATTTTCAAAGCAAGTGCTCAAGGAAAGTGTACTTACATAGTAGTGTAGTTCCTTGAATAAACTGACAGCATAGAGCAACTGTCTTTGGAGAAAGTTCCCGTGCTCTCGGTACCAAAGTCAGATCCCACCACAGGATCTGTTCCCCTGCATCGCTGAAGGCTCAGATCAACAGCCTTACAAAGAGCAAGAAGCCTCAACCCCAGTCCATTTCTTTCTACTAAATCGGAATCTATGGCATTGACTCTGACGAACTGGGATAGTCAGCTAAGGCACGTGACTCTATGCTGTCAATCTACACGGTAATTCTTGGGTTTGAATGGACTAGCTAAGAAATCTTTCCGTCATCTGTTAGTATCAGCACAGATCCCCACTGTTGGGAAATTAACTAAGGGTAGCAATCCCTGAGAGAGCTTGACTGAAGAAAACCAGTTAAAGAAAAATTGTCGAATTGTTTTTCTAATGAGACCTGAAACCCTGATAAAGCTGTGTCAATGTGTGCACTTAATTCCCATCTGGAATTCAGAAGACAGAATCATTTCCTCTGAAGGATGCATTTGGATCCAAATAACTACCTCCCAAAGACTTGGAGACTAGATTCACCACAATTCAAAATGGCAATAAAGACAAACATTTTTAATAGTAATAACCATTAAAATAGATACCCTTCAACACTGAGGATGGCACCCCATCCCTTTCTTACCCTACAACTAAGTTTGGTTGTTTACATGACTGTCTGAGCCCTAAGAATGGCTCTCCTGCACAGAATGGCACTCTGCTCCTGCGTGTGGAGTCCTACCCACGTGAACATCTATGTACACATCCAGAAACAGAATGCAAACCTGTGCAATCTGGTCATCTCGGGTATCTGAAAAGAACAGAATGCTGCCCGTCCAAACATCCACACTAGGGATGCACTGATAGAGATTTTTTGGGCCGATACCGATGGCGGATTTTAACGAGCCATATCAGCTGATACCAATCCAATAGCCAATAAGCGGCCCAGCAGCACGGAGAGCAGCGTTCGACTGGTAAATCTGTTGTGGGGGGAGAGCCAAGGGGGGAGGGAAAGGGCATGGGGGGAGCAGATCGAGGCCCCCAAGGTGAGGGAGGGAGTGGGGCTGGCACTGGGGTAAGCGCTGCCCAGCCAGGGTGGGGCAGGACACGGCACGGGACAGAGCCACGGCTTGTCCGGGGCGCAAGGGGGGCAGCTCCTACAGCAGTAGGGCAGGACGGCATGGGGGATGCGTGCCCTCCAGATCTGCATACGGGGCAAGGGTGGGCTGCTTCAGCGGGCTGGGGCCAGAGGCAGCACCACGCTCTTCCCAGCAGGTGGCTGGACCATGGCTGCATTCAGGACGGGCGGCAGCAGCACTGGGAGGGGGAATATGGGGGACTACAGCAAATATTGGGGTGGGCACAGCCGCCCACGTAACCCCCCTCCCAGTGCTGCTGCCGCCTGCCCTGAGCACAGCCCTAGCCCAACCCCCTGCCAGGAAGAGCCTGGCACCACCCTTGGCCTCAGCCCACAGTGGCAGCCCACCCTTGCCCTACATGCAGATCCAGGGGGGACATGCCCCCATGCCCTCCAGAGGTGTGTGCAGCTGTGGGAGCTGCGCCCTCCAGACGAGCGGCTCATGGCTCCATCCCATGCCCTGACCTGCCCTGCCATGGCTGGGCAGCACCTGCCCCTGCCCTAGCCCTAGCCCGTGCCAGCCCTACTCCCTCCCTTACTGCAGGGGCCTCAATCTTCCAACATGTCCAGCCTTCTCCCCTGGTCCTCTGCCATCATGGGAAAACTGGCCCCCTCCTACTGCTCCACTCCCAACTACCGTGGCTGCAAAAGTAACGAGGGGAGTAACAACCAGGCAGACGCCCACAGGCGACATATTAGCCCCCTGCAGGCCACATCCAGCCCACAAGTGCCAGCTGAACAGCCCTGTTGTAGGTCAGTAGGTAGATACCACTACAAATTGACAGTAATGGTATCAGACTCCAAAATGCTTTAATGATAGCAGTCAAATGCTGGAGGAACCATGCAACCTCAAGTTTGACTCTTTCTCAGAGAGAAGTTTCATGGCAAAAATGTTAGCAGTCATCCACCAAAAACATCCACAACTTAGTACTCTCATTTGAATAACGTAAATCAGAGTGAACAGTACTAAAAGGATAATATTAATACTAAACAAATTCTCCTCCAAACACCTACACACCCCTTTTATTCATAGAGTTCATGGATTTCAGGTTTGGATTAATCGTTTGGCCCTGGGTGTTCATTAGGAAACCCAGAGCTGGAAGATGAGCTAGAGGTTCCTATGTTAAGGTAGGAGATCTGAGAACCAGAATTTGTATCATGTCAACCTGTCAAACCTGACTGTCATGAAGCTCTTGGTAAAAGACGAAAGGCACACATTTTTTTAAAACTCCAAACTAATAAGTGGATTAATCAAATCCTTGTCCCCAAGAAGGCAAATAGCAGGCATTTCAATCTTTCCCATATCAAAAGCAAGCCTAATAAGAGAGAATCCAACCTGCTGAATACTGAAGCAACTAGTGAATTCTTGAAACAAAAAACCCACCTAAACTGATTACATACAATACATCCAAGTTGGGTTTGGGAAACTGTTCAATTGACTAGTCAAATAATGACAATTGACTGGTCAACTGAACATCATTTGACCACAGCCAAAAAGTGTCAAATATTCCATGAAGCCAAAAATACCCTTACGTAGGTGACAGCCTACCTTTTTATTGCATCGTAGTGTTATCTGTTAGCAAGGGCAGGTGTCATGGCTCTTTGTCCCTCAGTGTCCTGCTTAAGTCAGGATGGATACCCCCCCACTACGCCCGGTCCATCCACCCACCATTTAGGAGAAGGAACCCCTGCCCTTGTCTTCTCTCCTGAGCATTTCCAGGCTCCTTTCCCTTCCCTCCACTGAGCCACATTGGGCTGCAGGACTCTGCTGAGAGAAGAAACAAAACCAGCAGCATAGAAAAGCTGCTCTTCCTGGCCAACAACAAAATGCCTGAAGTGTTCTTAGTACAACTGGTTTTTTTTAACTGACTTTTGTCTCACAGTTGCTGTGTGTGTTTTATTTCTGTTTAATTTTAATTTATTTTATAACTGTTTGGGCTGGTTTGGGGTTAAAAGACAAGGAAATAACTTTTCAGTCTTGAATATGATTCATATTTACACTTATCTAACACTGATAGTTATAAATAACTTAGAATTTAATTTCAATATTTCATAAGTTAACTTTTTTCTTATTAGCGTAAGTATCTAACCTATTGAAGATTATAGTCTCTCTCTTCATTTTTCTAATGCTTAAAATATTTGACCAGTCAATTGATCAAGTATTTTTTGACCAATCAAATACCAAACCTTAATCCAAGTCAAATCAATTTCCATCCTATCAAGGCACCCAAGGCAAAGAACACTACTGCACGAGTCTGACAGTCTTGTCTTGGTGTCCAGGGCGAGCTCTATCCTAGCAGCTTACCAACAAGGCTGTTGTTGCCTTCAAAATTTTTTTTCTTGCCCCAACCTAATTCAAAGTATCGAAGTATTAACTGAAAATGGATCACCTGTAATGTATCTGTTGTTCTAAGGTGCATGGAGAGTTTTCTCTAATGGTATCTGGTTGGTGTTACTTTTGATATACAGACTGCTGTGGTCTGTACATTCTGGACGTCTGATGCTAGCAAGCCATCTTCCAGGTCCTGAAGGCAACGCAGAAAACAACTCCAATACATGTTCAGTGGCGAAAGCTCAGAATGGTTTCTTGTTGTTGGACAGTACACCAATTGCTCTAATTAACAATCAGTCCAACTTAGCGAAGCTTACCCTTGACAAGTAGAGATGCTGTATACACACTCCCTTAGGTCTTTACAAGGAACAGGCTACCCAATTCCTGTGTTCATACATGCATACCCCTCACATCTTGTGCCAACTTTTTCTCTCTCTCTCTCTCTGTCAAAAAGTTCATCTTTATTTGTTTTGTTTCCCAAATTCATGCACCTCCACACACACTAGTAAGCACCAACTTTACATGTGTACCTGCTGTGTTCATACCTCCTTTAATACTGGTTAGTGTGGGGGTTTTTTCTTTCTTACTATGTCATCCAACAGTCAGGAGGCCCTTTTCTCCCATACTGCTTTTTGGTACTGTAGCTTAGCATAGCTTGCATAACTACGGCCTACCACAACTGGAACCCTACAACTGTTTCTCTTCTTACTGCGATGCTGCTTTTGCCTTTCTCTTCTAATGCAGCTAAAGAGAAGCTGCTTCTCATACAGCCATGAGCTACATGGAGCCAGAGGCCTCTGAGAACCACAACTTGGGCCTCAAATCTTTTTTGATTTCTAGGATGACCTAGATGACTCGGCACTAAGGACAAAGAAACAGTGGCTACATCTGAAACCTCTGGTTCAGTTGCAGAGAAAGATGGTCCTCACTTGTGGACACAAAGCTTGCTCTATCCCAGAAGGCCCTAAGCAACCTTCTCAATTCCCATATGCCTTTGGGATAAAAGCCAAAAAGACAGAATAGACAAGTTTATATCCTCATGTAATATTTGAGTAAACTGAGACAGAGAAAGGTTAAGACACTTGCACAGGCAGCCCCTGACCATATATACCTGGACTTTTCTGTTGGCAATATCCCAAAAGTATCAAAGAGGACCAGGTCTAGATGAAAGATTTTGAAGGAAACAATCTCGGTGGCTTTTATAAAAGGACTAGTTCTAGGAAGACACTCCATGAATAATGGAAAGCAAGGATGAAAGGCAAAAAGATGTATGACAAAAGTGCATTAATTGGCAGTTTGTTCCCTGCAAAATTTCCCTCTACAACTTCAGGAAATAAAAAGCACGTAAAAACACAAAAGGAATTTTGCTTTATCAC